GTGCATCATAGTTCAGAATGCGTCTTAATTAAAACCCATTTTTACCCAGTGGTTGTTTACCTTATTCAATTGTATGTTAGTGTTTTTTAATAAGCGAGGTCATCATTCCAAAATAGTCGGGTGCACGGCAAGATTCGTCGATTTCTTTTTGGGATAACCGCGGCAAATAAATGCACACAAGGCAATGGGGGACGTGGTAACCAAATCTGCATTCTGTGTCAATTTTTCGTGGAATCAAAAAGAGATGGAACTTTCGTTCTCACAAAACTTTTGACTCACAAAACACCAAAACGCTTCGCTGTCCATTTTTTTTTTGCAAAATGTTAAACTTCAGAACACCATGATCTCTTTAATTTTGCTGGTACCCCGCTATGCTTTTGGTAATACGATGACATTTTTATCCCGAAATAAAAATCGGCAAATCTTGATGTGCACACGCATGCGCAGATGGAATACCGAACTGGCTTATTCCTTGTACCAAATAAGTAAGTCCGTGTCAACAAAAAAAAGTGTTTCAATTCAAGATTTAGCCTTTTATCGCTGCTTACATTTTGTGCATCGTGCATTAACCATGTCAAGCCAGTTGACGATCACCCGCCGGCGATGGCGTCCTTCACAATTTAACTTAAAGTTATAGCATTTCTTGAAATCTGTGTGTGTTGTTCGAATCGACTGGCCACAATTATGACACAGCGAACTCTGTTCACGATAACTAATATTATTTTCGAAGGAACAAAATAACCCCCAATTTCAACCACGGTCGCTGACCGAATTATCTGCGACAAAAATGCTTCTTAATGGAGAGTGTCATGCGAAGAATTGATGTTTTCATTTCATTACTAAAGAAAAACTGTCAACGCGCAGGGCAGTATGGCCAAAAAAAACGTTGATGACCCAGAAATTTGACGGTTTATCTTTCCTCTTCGCCTCCAAGTGATTATCTCAGTGTGAAGTGTTGAAGATCAACATTCTAACTACAAGCCCATGACTCACCAACCCCAAAGAAGTGCGCAACCAGCGGAACCCTACATTGATCAGTCTTTATAATATCTGGCAATCGATCACCCCATTTCTATATTCAGATTTTAGAATTTGAAAAGCGGGATTTATTTGAATTAACCAGCTGTTATTTGCAAGTCATAATAGTGGTCATATATTACCTTTATCGGTATCGATCATTTATTGTGAAATATTTTTAGAATGTGGAGAGAAGGGATAATCCGCAGCGTTCCCGACCTCGGCAAAACATGAGCCGCAGAATTAAGGTTCATCTTCAGATAATTTATGACAGCATTTGTTAACTGATGGGACGCATACGCTCATTGTGAAGGGCACACGTTTCTGTACATCACAGAACGTTGACATTTGCAGGGGAATCAATCAAAGGAATTCCATACATAGTAAATCAAGAGACTGACTTTGAAGCCTATCGAACAAACACGCTGCATGGCTTGATATGTAAGCCTTAGGCTGATTGTGACAGGAACATATAGCGATGTACTTCTCTGACCTCCATACCGTGACGGTTCACGTTGCACTAGTGCAGATTCTCGTTCTGTCTTCCTCAAAAAAGCTCCCGTTTCTAGGCTCAGTAATGTTTTTCCTCCACACACAGGCAGGAGTGAAAACTGCAAAAGAACAAAATATTATAGAAGACGACGAAACTTCCTTTTGTCTTTCAGTTTCAAGGCGTTAACTAGATAATTCTGCTTAACATTCTGAGTAACTGGTGCATCTAGTCCACCTCTAGAAGAGTCCATCTTTCCTCTCCGCCAAAGTGCATCTTCATTAAAGTTGAAAGGTTGTTTAACGCCATGAGAAGCGTGTTGTCCTAGAGACGCAAGCGTGTCCCTTCTGGGTGAACGCAATCCGGAAGTACTGTAACCTGTTGGCGACATTCGCCACATCAGCACCATTTGGTGACTAATTGCACCTGACTCTTCTGGATTGAATCATTACCAAGCAGGCCAGCAGCGAAGGGGGATGGGGACCCGAGTGAATCTTTCCCCGTCTAAACAATCTCCAAGCTGCGCTTAAGGCATCAATCCTTGATGGACTTGGCTTATAAATGCATGGGCACGTCAAAGAATCGTCATTTACTCCTAAGTAAGGCTTTTGGCGTTAGATGCGTATAGCTAATGGCCATTCCGTGTTTGTACAGTTCTAACTAATTGCAGTCTGATTAGCTTGCTAGCTTTCCAGTTATCCAGGAAATGGCCGGGACTTTATCTTCCTTTCAACTGTCAAAAGTGAGAGTTATCAGTTTGGTTCATTTATTTTTACCTTAGAGTTGAAGTTTAAACAGAGTATAGTAAAATAATTAATTGACCAAAATACATGTGAAAGAAGCAAACCCTTTGAAAATTGATGGTTGGGAATTTTCAAGCAAAAGAAGAATACAGGTGAAAGGACATGTTGTAAAGAGTTTTGCTTTTGAAGAGTCCCCAAGGCAGAATTCCTTTCAATCTCTGTGATTTCCTGGTCCGGCAAATATTCATCAAACCTTAGGACTGACGCTATCACGCAACAGTGGCATCTTACTGCCTCTCTCTCTATCTAATGCAATAACGATAAGTGAGTCATGTCCCTTGATTTGATCAATCTTATCTTTATAAGCCCCGTCTGGATAAGAAGCTATTCAAGCTATTCAATAAGAACTGAAGAGAGTTTTGCACTGTGGCGAAGAAAGATCTCAAACGCAACGTGGTAGGCTTGATTGAAGTCATTTTGTGTTGGCCTGAAGAGCAGGGGGGGGGGGTTTGCTTAAGTGACTCCAACACTGCATCTTCTCAAGCTCACTTACGACTTCGGTTGGAGTCAGAGGACAGAGGATTACTTAAGTTAACCTAAAAATGAAAACAAAGAAACTAAAATCCTCCCGAGATATTGGCTGGATATAATGGTGGCTTATGATGGCAACTAGTTTGTGTTAAGTTTCTAAATGGAGGTCTGTTAACATACTTCATCATTCTTATAATCATAAGTAGGTTAACGGTGGACAAAATTTACATTTGACTCTTTAGCTTTATTCGTTCTTCACCATCATGACGTAAGTCTCAAGAATCTTTTTGCGTGAATTTTTGTAAGCACTGAAGATTAAAATCACGACATTCCTTTTTGAACAAGGAGAAATCAATAGTCGATGCATGTTACCTTGGCCTGTATCAATCGAGAGGAATCTGCCCATGAAATGGTAGGGTAAAAGAAGCCTTACTACATGAGCAAGTCTGCTCACATTTTTCTGTTTCGCTCTAGTGATACATCAACATGTCACTTTGCATACCAATTTTATTTTCACCCCAGCTGTCATCAGAAGGAGCATATGGCACGTATATGTTTGTACCTATAGGCCCATCTTACCTGGGGAATTATAACCTTTATCAGTTATATCGCAACTCCCTTGGACATGAAGAAAGCTTGGGAGACGAACACCAAGACAAAAACCAATAACAAATACCTTGTTCAACTCACGTTTCCATTTTACGCTTGAAGCAGTTCGCCAATTTCCCCCCCCCCCCTTCCTCTTTCGTTCCATATTTGGGTCATGCTTCATGATGGGTCATGCTAAGCCTCGGAATGCCCATAGCTTTGAAGTCTTTTGCTTATTTCCGACATTGGGGAGTTGATGCTGATGGTGACAAAAACAATTAGATTAAGAATCTAGATGCGTCCTATTTAGTTCACAGCGAGTGAACGACTAAACTTCCTGCTTTCTCAGTAGCCTGAAAAGACGCTTGAAAGACTTCATTTTTATTGTACAAACATCTAGTGCAATGAATCTGCATTCTCGTGGGCTTAATACAGTTTTATTGTCTGGAACGTCGTTTCACTCTGTTTCCTTCTTAATTAAGTGCGCCATGCAGATAAAAACAATCGTTTTTGGAATAGACATTTAATATTATGTATCCATCGCACCCGTTGCTTCCTTCCCATGCTGCCGTTGTTGCTGTTGCTTGTGGTTGTCATTGCTGCTTCTGTTGCGCTTGTTGTGGTCTTTCTTGTACTCAGTACATCGAAGTGACGAGTGCTGCAACCCTAGTCTTATATTTTCGTTTCCCTGATCAATATTTGTTTTGTCGTCGTCTTTACATCGTCGTTCTTTTTCATCTCAACATTAAAACATTAGTTTTTCACATCACATGTTTTAATAGGTTTGCTCCAGTAGTACTTTCCATATTACTGCCCGTGCGTATTGTCCACCTTTGGGCATAATTACAAAGGATGAGAAGGAGACTTCTGCCAATCTTCCCTCAATATCTCTCGACTTGTACACATTGCCTGCCTATTTCTCTTCCCTTGATTTCCCTTGAGTTTGGTGTTATTAGTTAGCTCTATCCCTGTCCTCTTTTCCTTCTTAAACTTGACCGTAAAAGCCCCAAATACATCTCCTTTGGGTATAATGCAATATTTCAGATTAGTTTTGATTCAACTGGCTTACTTTGTCTCATTAATTCCGAGGCGAATCAGAATGAAGACAGTGCAATCGTCCACACTCCGTCCCGCGTTATTGGATTGTAATTGCTAGATTTACTCGGACCTTAAAGATCTTTGTATTCTTATAGGAAATAGGCCTAATGTGGTAAGGCTTTATTTGCGCGCAAGTTGGACAAGGAAATAACTCAAATAATGCTCTTTTAGCAGCTGTGGCGGTCTTTTGTTTCTGAGGATTTCCTATAATATCCTGCAGAATCCGTAACGATCGACATGGAAACTTGCTTTTCGGTTTTCTATCCGTGTTACATTTTGTATTTTTGTGCTGAGCCTTTTGTTTTCAAATAATAGGCTTTGTTTAAAGCAGGAAGATGCCAGAATATATCAAGGGGCTGTTCTATTGAGAATTTTTGCGTTTAAGTTAGAAATCAAAATGTCAAATTAGACAGTTTTAGATTACCCTGTTGCACTTTTGATTTTTTTTTTACTCTAAAGAGAAAAAGTTCATTTTCAATGATGTCCGTCACCTTTCTTCCCGCCATTTCTGTTTCGTTTTTTTTCGTCTGCAGGCTCTGGTTCCAATTCGCCTTCTCCGTGGAGGTCTTCGATTCCTTGGGAATGTTCATCCTCTCAACCGGCTCGTTTCTCTTGACCTACGCCAATTCCTGCATCAACCCCATTGCTCTCTGCTTCTTAAGCAAGACCTACCGTCGATACTTCGCCCGTTACCTGTGCTGCATCCGTGTCCGTAAGCTATCTCATGTACGCGTAGCGCGGACGAATATGTACCAGATGACTCCAGGCACACCTACTAGCACTATTTACAACTACAACAAGCGGTCAGGGGATGGATCGTTAAGGGGCTCGTCCGTAGAAACGAAGACTTGTACGGTGTGAGATAGTTCCTGTAGCCAACGTGATCATCCTCAAGTACGGGGTAGAAGATGGAAGTTTGAACGTAAATTGGAGACAGAGATTATAAATGAGCACTTGTGACGCCCTGTGAAGTCTCTGAATTATGAAATTACCATTCTTGACCCAGCAAGTAATATTTCTGCTCAACAAATAGTGACAAAATTACTGAGATGTGACTACTGGGATGTGCTTGGATGGCAATGCGACGAATGTAACTGCGTTTTAACCTTTCGGAATGGAGTTCAAAAGTATGAGATCCACCAGCGGACTATAGGGGGCGCTTTTAGCAAACGCAAGTGGTGGCAAGTGAAGGACATTGATTTTCGCTGGTTCGCTCACGCCATTCGCCCGTTGATATTTGAAAATCAGTTCGTACCAGGGAAGACAGAAAGAGCGACTTTCGAAAGGGGAGGGCGGGAACCATACAATTTCAGACTGAGAACACTACCCTTGTTGTCACTTTTACGAAACTGTGACACCATTCTATAATTTCTTGCTCTCTTTGGGTTGTAAAAACAAACAAGTATATTTAAAAATTTACTTTGATTGAATATGAATTCCTTGAATGAAAGAAAAAAGACGGTCTTTCATAATTGAAAAAGCGTGACCAGAAGTTTTCGTATAGAGGTTGGAAGAAGACTTTATGATTTATGTTATTGATAACGTAGCCTTCAATTTGAATAGGGATTCAGTTTACTGCACGATTCAACGGAACACAAGACCTTCCTGCATGATGAAGGGAGAGACCGAACGCACCTTCGCTTTGCCATATGCCTGGCACATTCGCTAACGTTTAACTCAAATTTAAATGTTCCTGCAACTGAGGCGAAAAAGAAACTGTTCAAGTTTTTAAAGGAATCAGTCGCACCCATTGACGCCCTCAAGTCCAGCGGGATGACTCAGAAAAATTGGCGCCATGTGGCGGCCATAAGTACTCAACAAATCTTGATCTTCAAGATGGCAAAACAATCCTCACTCCTTGGTTACATTTGCGTCATCAGTTAGAATCTTCAAGGAGTTTATTGACCGCTTGATGACAAGACGTCAATCCTTCAAGGCCAATATGTTACGTTTTTGAGCCTCTCCGTGCTAAGATTACCTCAAAATGTATGTATGTATGCACCTGACGCGCATGCGAATCTCCACTAATTTCAGTGCGAGACGTTTTCAGCAAATCATGCCTCTTCAGGTCAGACATGGTCAAGAGAGATCCAATCAACAGATGAACATTAGAAGAGGACTTCTACTCGAGTGCCTATAATTTTGGTATAATTTGTTCCGAAGGGCACAAATTTATTAAATTATTTCTTTAGTGTCTTAACTAAAATAGCCTTGAGATGTTTGTCAACAGGTTGGATTGGGAGTTTATCTGATTTGTAATCGAGACAAAATTTCTTCGGAATGTCAGTTGATGTCATTAGAATTAGTGATGTGTCTGATACATTATTGTCATATACACGATCTTGTTTGTATCTTTTGTGAAAGTAATAATTGATGGGCATTTTCCTGCATATTTGGGTCATTATGGATATTTTATGAGTGATTTATGCTGTGCATGGTGATTCCACCCTGATTTAACTGTATTTTTTATGACGATGCACACATCAACATTCAAAGAATATAAACATTAATCAATCATCAGAGGGTACATTGACACATGATGCAGTTGTGTCGTTCTGATTGGTTAATCGATCATCAGAGGGTAAATTGACACATGATGCAGATGTGTCGTTCTGATTGGTTAATGTCCTAAATTTGATATGATATAACAGTTCTATGTTTGACTGAAGTTTCAGTTTAAATGTACGTATTAAGAACGTTTAATCCGTCTATAAATGCATGCGTAACCCGTAACAAGAAAGTTTGTACTACAGTTAACGATGTTCTTGAATGCATTTTCACCAAAATTGCCTGTGAACTGTATTATACAACCAAGATGAAGACATTGTGCAATTTAATGCTCTTGACATATCAATTATATTATCAATCATATTATCTTGAGGTGAAAGCCATGTACTATTGAATTAGGTACACTGTACTATATATTTTCAGATGTCAGTAATTATATGTACTATCAGGATTTTTCTGTAAATATGAGCTCAAATTCCGAGAGATTAACGTTTATAGTTGTCACGTACATTGTAACTGCGTAATTGTTTGCATGTATGATATATTCACCAGTGACGTAGTGTAATTACCGATAAAGACGTGATGCCTAAAAGTATCAAACGAAAACTTTGAAAAAAATTCTCAATGGAAATCGGGTTATCTCTGGTAGAAGCTTGTTACCAGTTATAGCAGGTAACCAATTACTAGTTATTACTGGTTACCTGTTATGGTGAACCCTGCAGTAATTGAATAAGGATTATCATGTGGTGTTTTTTTATTGGTATAGGCCTAAACATTATCGATATAAGTTAACAGTTACTGGTAACACGTAATCAGTTCCTGAATTCTATATTCTAATTTTGGAGTCATGTCTTGGCTCCTGTTCACTCGTCGATGGCATCAAAGCAGAGAAATAAGCTATCTTCCCTCAATCATCACGAGCGGTGACTAAGCAACTCATGTCCCCGGTTCTTGACCCAGTTTATGTTAAATCGTGATTTGAAGAGGGCTTTCCACGCACGTTTTGTCCGTCAAATGGCTAGCTTTTGGTGTAATGTGTTTGGGCAGGCGCCGTTGCTATGGCAATTTCGTCCCTTGACTATTTCCGACATTTTACCACGTATGCGCAGCTGACGCGGAAAACCTATTGTTTTCAAATTTCCTCTGAAGACGACTGTACACGCCATTTTTGCCATTTTGCTGTGAACAGTGGCGTAGCCCCCTCCCCCCCCCCCCCTTCACTGAACAAAATCCTGGCTACGCCACTGGCCGTGAACGAGTACAGCGAGTTAACACTCGTCATTTGAAATTTCGAACAAGATTGAGTTTGGTCGGAAGAGGGCGCTATTAACATGTTGACGTAATAATTATTGTGTTCCATATGTAAATATGCTGTCATATTTTTGAGTAATCAATTCATAAGTAATACAGCTAAACATTTAGGTATCGGTGAATTACCATGGCACTAAAACGGTGCGAACGGATATCTCCTTGCTCTGTGATAAGTCAACTCCTCTCAATCTCACCCTATAATTTTGGTATCAGACACGTTCCAAACCGGGGGATTATCGTGATGGGTTTTCTCAGCCAGGATGAAGAGTGATGAGGCTGATTGCAAAAACACGTGGAAACGATACAAGTGGATGAGATAGGAAAGTGTGAAGACATCTTCAAGTAGAGAAAGGTGTAAACTACGTCTAAGAAAATGTACCTGACGAAATGTTCGAAATGGTTGGTTAAAAAAAGTTCGTTTTCCTCAAGAAGTGGGGCGCCGTAAAACATTCACCCTAAACTTATCGTGAAAGCAAAAATGCGACTCGGGTTTGTCTCCTCTCAAGCCCGTGATACTTCATGCTTGAACTCACTGTGTCGAATTTCTGGCGCTAAGTCTCGGTTTGGTTCCGTAAAACAACTCCATGTTGTTTGTTGCATTCAGAACAAACCACTCCACGTGCACTTGAAACTTAAGCACGTATCCCGTGTTTTGTTTCATTCCATTTACCTTATTATTTGGTCCTTGCTTCGATATTTTGTTTCGTACTTGTAACGTTCGATTTACAGGCTTGATTGATGGTACACAATACTCACGTCCTGTCATTCTTGCAAAAGAAACTGATTCTTTGATATTTTCATGCCTCTTATTTTGACTACCTTTTTAGACTGAGAATTTCAAAGTTAATGCAAACTTCAATTTGTTTGACCCTCATTCCCCAATATGATTGGTTATGCACGCGGACAATGTTTTGTGCAAAATCATAATTTTAGATGTTATCACGGGATTGGAACGCTGCTGATTGAATGTGATGAATTTCAATTAAAGTGACATAGAGCATGCAACGAGTATAAGTTAAAATAACTGTAATGAGATGAGCAGAGTAATGAATGAACAACTCACAACAAGTACGTTTAAAAAGGAAAAGGAAGGATGAACAGATAAACGCAAGATACAAGTCTTGGGCCAAGTTCGGGCAAGGACCATTAGTCGACTAGTGGTTGAATTGTGACGTACCTTACGCCTGCGCACTGATAGCAATGTGCGAACGTCTCTAGTCAAACGCTGGTCAAAATGTCATCGCAAAACTTCTGGATCCTGGCTCTCTGCTAGCGTTATGGATGCGCGCGGCTATTGGTTACCAGCGAAGCAACCAACCCCAGTAGGCTGGTTCCAAATAGTCGACTAGCGTAGTCAACCATCGTCGACTAGACAGAGTTCGGGCAAACGTTAGTTCACCATTGGTCAACTATAGTCCTTGCGCGAACTTGGCCATAAATGATGCGTTCCCCGTGCTTTTTTCGAGTTTCGCCTCGACAAACAGATTTTTTTCCCAATCGCTATTTTCCTAGAAATATACATGTAATTGAAATTTGAATGAGACATCGAACGAAGTCCAAAATCCAAAATCGGAATAAACTTGTTTTATTCGTGAAACCAAAACATACAAATTGAAAATTCGTTTGGAAAAAATCCATTTTTAAGAGCATTGGGTGTGCACCTGTTTTTTGACTCGAGATTAATACCATATTTGTATGCTATGTTTATGCAGAATGCAGCAGCCAATGAAATGCTAGGTTGAGAGAGGGAGTAGAAAGGGCGAATTATTTTTAAAACGGGGAGAACTCTCTTCTATGGTGTGTTTTTCCGTCGTGTTTTTCGGATTTTAAGGAGGGAGATAAGCTGAGATAAGATCAGGTGGAAATATCGAGCAGGAAATTGAGCTGGAGATGTTGAGTGATAACGTGAGAGGTTTGGTTTGATTGATGTTGTGGAGGAATTGCGGCATGAAATGGATGAGTCTTGTTATCAACTGCGGAAGTATTGGCATAGGATAATGAGTTCACTCAGGTCGGTAGGTGGTGCTACTCCACAAATACTCGTTGTAAATAGTTCTGAATATTCTGATTACATTTATCATAATTATTGACCCAAACAGTGTTCTCTTTAGAGGGGATATATCCCGCAAGAAACTCAAAAATGAAAAAAAAAACATGCACATAGGTAACTTCAGTTGTCTTAAGGTAGTTTAAGTTTTCATTTTGAAATACGTGTGTCTTGATTAAAGTATTACTAGTCTTGATACAAGACTAGAAGTCAATAAAACAGGCTTCTGCCCTGACTTTTGCGATTGACGTAATCGTTTGAAACATAAATTATGCTAATGTGTTTCTGAAAATTAACTCGACCATCACGGGGTCATGTCCGAGGGAGAACAAATTGTTTTGATTCGAGAGTAATTTGCAGATTTAATCAACTTTTGTAATTCAATCTGTAATACAATTCATATTAAGAGAAATACGAGATCCATTTGTAAAGAGCTATGGTTGAAAGTACGACAGTATTTCCTAAATTAACTATTAATTTTGCTTCTTCTAAAATGATTCAAACGAAATCATCCCGCAATTTACGTGAGTGAAGTTTGAAAGTTAAAAAAATACATGTGATAAATTAAGTCGTTTAAATCACAAATCTTTTTTGGTAAATATCGTATAGAAAAGACATTAAGAGGGGGGGGGGATTATAGCACGTGCTTTATTTATCACTGTAGTAGATTTTTCTGACGTTACGTGTAAGCGAAATGTATTATAATATATTTGGGGAGGATGTTAATGGACCACTTAGTCTTGATCTTGACATAATTTCATCCAATACTATTTCGGGGGGGGGGGGGTCGACGTATCGAACGTGTTCATCCAGTCGGATCATCAATCGAGCAAAAAGTGCCATGCGTCTTCGTCTCACGGACGTGCTCGACCGTCGCTTTTCTCGATTAGCAAATTGATTTTAGCACAAAAAAAAAGAAATACAGAAAACTTAAGAACATATCTGTGTGCCATAGGGAGTTCAATCCTTTATTTTATATAAAGGAGAAATTGAAATTAAACACTAAAAATAATGAGAATCACGCATCGCGTGATTGATTCTTTGTTCCTTCATTTTCGTTTAATTAATTTGCAATGTCTTTTGTCTGGAACTTAAATCAACAAGAAAGGTTTTATGTTAAAACGGGTTTATTTGGTACGTGTATTCCTCCATTATGAACGCATTGACAAAAGCTTTTTATTTGGTAGAATTTCTTTCCAAGGTAATCCACAAGGTTTACGTTTAAAGAAATGTTGTTGTGTTGGTAAATTTAAACTGTACGCATGAGGAAACCATAATCATGAGATGTATGTAATTCTGTGAGTTAGTGCTTGTAATTGCCTTTAAAAAAATGTTTGTTCATTTCAATGTTAAATATTTATACATGTATGCACACTTTTAAGCTTATGACTGTATTGTTATCAATGCTAGAATGTGAATAAACCTAATTGAAGAAAAGTGATGTGAGAGATAATGGCCTCAGCGGTTAATTTCATTCGACTTAGACCGTTTCGAAAACATTTGCACCGCTTTGGAGGGATGCTATAGACAATGTGTGTTTCTTTGTTGTTGGTACTGTTTGTTTGTTGTTCGTTTGTGTCTATCCGTTTTTAATTGTCTCTCTGAAGGACAAACATCAAGTGTTTGGTATGTAGTTACGTCTTTACAAAGTTACATCTATTATCTTTACTTCTGAAACTGGGGGACATTTTCCCAAGTATCCTTCGGGCTGGCTTTCCCTGCAATATAGCAGTCCCCCCCCCCCCAAAAAAAAGGTGCTCATGTCACGACCATCCCTGCATGTGGACTGTCTTGAGCTCAAGTTACGCATCTGATGTACTTAAAGTTGACTAGGTTTTGCACAGTTTTTGCACGTAATTGCTAGACCACGCAGCAGTACACAGTTTTACACCAATAACACCACTAGCTCTATGCTTCAAGCGCTAGAGGGTCCTTTCTAAGTTGTATTGAATGCACGTACACGTTGGTGATGACTGGGTAGATGTTTGACGCCTAAATACCCACATCACGCAGCACTTGGACATCTTCAAAACCTCAGCGAGGAGTAAGAGCATCCCCTCCAGAGATTTGAGAAGCTCTCGGCTTGTTGTTTCCTTTCATCTGCCGCAGTAAGAGTTGATAATTGACCTTCTTTGTTTTGTTGAGCGAGCAGGCAAGAAGGAGACACTTGAAAGTAGGTCGGTCTTTTCGAAATGCTGAATTTATCGTTTATTTCGGGAAAAGAAACATGATAATGATTTCCCGATATTAGATTTAGATGAAAGCTTTGTTAACATTTTTTATGTGGAACATTCATGGAATTGACCCTGATATCACGAATGTTTTGTCTTGTAATGAACGTAAAGATCAAAATTTCGAATTCAAATTAATCACCAAGCGAAATGGCCAGCGAAATAGCGCGCCCATGTCGACAAAATAACTTACTTACAGGAGATCACGTTATTAAGAAGGTTACTTGACGCATACAGCCCTGATAAGACTTACATGATTACCTCGGCAGCTTTTTTGTAGGAAAACAATTGCAGATACCTCGCGGGTTACCAGACAACAAGTCCAAATGATGCATTGTAATAACTGGTTCCTGATGCAGTGCTTGTACGTCTGCCCTAAGCAATATTTTCCGCGTCACTGAGCCGTGAAATTGGGTCTAGTACAATCAAAAGTTAACATTGGGAAGTGGAACTCATTGATGCTATGGTGTCGTGTAAGTGAACCTCGAGGCGTTAATTGATAGATGTGTGACACAGGTGTCATCACGTCCTAATAATGCCATACGCACGTATTAGACGAGTGACGTTATTGAAATAAAAAATATATATATACATTGTATATATTGTAGTAGAACACTTTAGTACTTGTATAGCAAACAACTTTTTGTGCTCTCTTTGTTCGGTTGACATCCATGGAATCCCTTGAACACAGCATGTGGGACTTTGTCATACATCATTGAGTTCCCATTATAGTCTTTAATTTTCACGAAGGATTAGTCATCAAGCGGAGGCAATTATTATATACATCCCTTTCCTATTATCAATTTTTTACGTCAGCATTTATTAATTCATTAAACTTTATCCGGCTTCAAAGACCTAGACATCTCGCGATGATAAACAATATCCAGAGTTATGTCAACAAAAGCTTCCACGTGCATAACGATACACACGCAACGGTTCACTGGCGTTCAGCTTCACCGCAATTTCGCTCTTGCTCTTTTCGGAAAATTATGAAACTTCATATTCCCAATATGTTATCAATTTTAATTATTTCCAAGGTCCCCTGTCAAAATTTTTCCATCTCAAAATATTCCACCCATATTATTTTGTTAAATGTACCGTAAACTGCATGCCCACGCGGGAACAGTAATATTTCAGCATCGTCTCTCTCTCTCAGAGAGAAATGAAACGAAACGAAACAAGATCGTGTGTAAACAAAAGCAATTACCGAACCCTTTATAAAATTGAATGTCGCTTCAACAGTGGGCGTGGCCTAGTTGAAATAAGTTGGCATGGTGACCGCGTTACAATAAACGTCATGGCAGACAGGCTAATTGTTCACCTGATGTGGGTAATATTGCACGGCTGACTTCGAAATTAACATTCAGTTCATGTGGAAGCCATGTCTGGTCTGATTTCAAGGTTTCTACATAAGCGCTGTGACTGTGTTGTTTTCATTTTTTGGCGTAACGTGTATACCTTAAAATTATTTGCTTAAATAACAGCAATTAAAGTGGGCCTAGAACAGTGTGTTGTTTGGGTGTTTAATGACAATTGTTCAACCTTTTTTGAAATTAACAGAGAAAACAATAAAGAATGGAATAGGGGATTGCCGACATCAAGTTGACGCTTCTTTGACATTTAGAATGATGCTTAATATTGGACAACATACATGTTGGTGTCATAAACTAAAGGAAAGCCATAGACGTGAAATATAGTTACAGCTTGCGATCCCTAATGAGGGATTGCAAGCATTTCAGCCGAAAAGAAACATGTTCAGATATTTATTTACGAGGTAGGGCCTATATGCTTAGTACATTCTGCTTATTCAGGCACTGCGTGGGGCTTCTATCGATTGGTGA